CAGTGCCCGCTCCGCCTCCTCCAGCCGGCTGCACAGATCTCCTCCCTGTGACACACACACACACACACACACACACACACACACACACACACACACAAATGTTAACACAACAATACATGAGCTTCATAGCATGCATTAAAAGGTGAAGAGCTGTTTAAATGTGTTTTACCTCACTCTTCAGTTTGGTATCATAGTCTCTAAAAAGACACGTGTAGGCATGCTGCAATTGTGTCAGTTTTTTCCTAAGAGGAAAAAAAGGAAACATAACTTTTACACACAGTATTGCATTACATGTCGGCAGTGCAACCGGCTGGTAACAGTGTCGAACAACTTTGAAAGAAACCCAGAAGTGTTCATTTCAAATTTGAGGGAGACCTCACAATAATAGAATGATAATTGAACATTAAAACTGTATTGTGTTGGTCCGGAAAATATGTATTTTCAATATTTGTGAGCAGAAGATAAAACAGTTTTTCTAATTAATGGACAATAAATATTGGGGGCACATGATTTGGAAAAAATAAACAATTCAAATTATTTACACTATTTTGTAAATGCAATATGATGGCCGATTTTAGAGGGAATGAAAAACCATTTACATTATTAATAAAACATACAATTAACTGATCATGGAGTGAATTCTTTTTTATAGGATCTGTATTAAACAAGGATTTTTTAATGAAGTCTGTAGAACACCATTTGTAGGTCAGGACTGGTCTGCACTACTTCACTCATTGTGTTAGTCTATATTGCAATTTTGATGACTTGTGCAGCCCTTGTAAATATTTCCCTCTTTGGGATAAATCTGTCTAAACATCATCACAATGCGGAATGTGTGTGTGTGTGTGTGTGTGTGTGTGTGTGTGTGTGTGTGTGTGTGTGTGTGTGTGTGTGTGTGTGTGTGTGTGTGTGTGTGTGTGTGTGTGTGTGTGTGTGTGTGTGTGTGTGTGTGTGTGTGTGTGTGTGTGTGTGTGTGTGTGTGTGTGTGTGACTGTGGGTCCACTTCTCCTCTGTGACCACATGTCTCTCTGTCTTCAGGGCGGTCTCCAGGCTCTGGGTCTGCAGCAGCAGCTTGTCCATGGCTACGTGATGCTGCTTCCTCTGCTGCTCCTGCTCCCGCTCGGCCACCTGCAGCGCCTTCATCTTACTGCACAGCCTGCACTCAGAGAGAGAACACATGCATCAGAACACATGCACTTCATGGATGTGTGAGACAACTGGATACAGTGTTGTGTTGTGTCAATCAAGCCAACATTCCCTGACCCTTGAAAACACAAATACTAATAATACTCTTCCCTGCATCCTCCAGCATTCTTCCCATTGGACCCATAACATCCACACCATCGTTTTCCTTAAGCCCCGCCTACAATCTGCTAAACCACATCTGGTCTTGACTCAGTCAAATAATTGGCATTTTACAACACAGACAGTAACCAAGGAATTCCACAGGAAGTTGTTAACGTGGAAGTTAGCAGTTTGGAACATGTTGGAACACACTTTATCTGTTCATTGTGTTGCATGATGCTCAAGACCAATCACCTCAGCTTAATCACTCCTAACATCATGAGCATTTCTTAACTGCTAAAAACCAATGGAAAATATATTTCAATTAGGCAGGCCGTCTGTGGTGGGATGAGGCTTATCCAACCTTGCCAAACAAAGTCAGGACGTTTTTTTTGTGACTTGATTTCAAAGAAATAAGAGATTCTCTAAATTGTATGATAATAATAATAATTGACGAATAATTGTTCTTCTACATGTACATGTATACAGTTGTTTTATGTTTTACTATAACCTCCATCCACATCATTTGTTTTAAACCTACAATTGTTATAATATGTCGTTATACAACACAGCGTCTCTGTATTAATGCTATTACATACTTTTCATCCAGTATTTTGCGTTCATGCTCGCTCTTCTCCAGGCAGCTCTGTCTCTCGTTCAGTTCTCCTAACAGGGATGTGGCTTGAGATTTCAGAGCCTCGCAGTCCTTGGCCAGCTGTGAAAACAATGTATTTAAGTTTAGAGTCTTTAAATGCTGCCACCATCTGTAACTTTAGTAGTAGGAGAAGTGTTCACAGTCCGGACCTGAGCGCAGTCCTTGTCCTTCTGTTTGAGCAGAGCTTCAGTTCGGTCCCGCTGAGCTGAACTCTTCTGCAGGTAATCCAGCTTCTCCTCCAAATCACGGTACCTGCAGACACAACACGCTCATCACTAAAACAGTAGCACATATTGTCATGTCAATTGATATATACACACATACTGTATGTATAATTACAGTTGGGCTAACGATTGATCTTATATTAAAGTTGCAATTATTAAAGAGTTTTCACAATACTCACAAATGTATTTAATTATAATTTACACAATAACAATGACTTAAGAAGACGCAGCAAGTTGTTTATTGACAATTGTCCCTGGCTAATTATTCAAATACTTATGAATGAATCACTAATCAATGGTAATTCTGTGCAGTGGTGGAAGAAGTGTTAGGATCATTTCATAAAGTCAAAGTAGCAATACTACACTGGGAAAATAGTCAAAAGTCCAATCGGTTTTTTTCAGTATGGAGGTATTAGCAACAAAAATGTTACAAATAAAAGTGCCTGTCCTGCAGAACATGCACTTTTTATATTGTTGCATTAACATAGAAGGTGTATTTTAATGTTGTAGTTTGTTGAGGAGCTAATTGTAACTCCTTTTTATTCTGTTGGGTAATTTTACCTTACACAATGCAAACAATTATACATTATGTATTCAAAATGTTGTAAAAACCATCTGCAGTAGAGTAGAAGTTTAAAGGATAAATATTCATAACTGTATTTAATTGCAGTAAATACATGTATTCAAATTACACTCCACCACTGACTGCATAGCATTACAAGGAACCACACATATCAAATAACTGATGCTATGATTTTACAGAAAACCTCCTGTATCTTTTTATATTTAAATAACTAACAAGGGGGCTGTGCAGGGGGGGGACGCTTCACATCAGTTTCAGCCATTGTGAAAATCAAATGACAGTTGAATTTGGTATGATAATGTCAAGTATAAATATCTGAATGTGCACTAAAGTCATGCCTTGTTCAATACAATGAGGACAGAAAAGGAATTTTTCAGTCATTTCAAATAAATATATCACTAAAATTATTTTAGTAAAACATACTTTAAATTATTTTATGTCCAATTTGTTTTGCCAGATGATGGGAAGGGAAGCTAAAAAAATGCTACTGTTAACCCTTTATGAGAAGACAGGAAGTGCAGATATGAAGACAATGCGAATCCGTCCATCAATGATGGAATGATAAATTGTTGAAATGTATAACAGCGGTTCCCAACTCTTTTTGTGTCCCCCTTGAGCTGGTCGCCATTCTATAACTACCCTGTCACTTATCTGTGATTATTCCCCAACATTTGGTCTTGAATTAAACCCTTTGGAATCATATTCAACCCGACTTTTGACAGACTCTCCCGGCGTGTTTGGTTCTCCGCAAATAGACTGGCTTCATAGAATTATTTGCCAGGACTTTTGGCCGTGGTGGATCATCAGATGTACAAGTAAATCCCTGAGAAAAGTATTTCCCTATATATATTTTCTTTTTACAGGGCTCCCCTAAACCCGGTTCTGCAGCGACGCGACTGGTATCTGTACGTTTATCATTGCCTAACCATGCATCTATTCTTACAGTAAATTTGCAGCTAATGTTAGCTCATTGCTATGCGCAGCACTTCAGCGTGAACATGAACTTCAAGGTGTCCCACTTTGCGCGGGACTGCTCGGCATTGTTATCATTTGTCCGGCTTCCCACAAATTGAGATGTCACACATTTAACTGAAAGTCACCCAGACAGTCGAAACTTGGCTTTTATCCAATGGCTGTTCAGAAAGCAAAAGATGGCTATTACCATTGGCTGTGTCAGATGTCAGTTGATAAAGAAAGTCTAGAAATGTATTTACTTATGGGTGTAGCCGGTGGAGGGCGATTCCCACAGAGTTTTTGTAAGACTTGGGAGTTTTTTTCTCCAGCTCCAGACTATATCATGTGGACATTAACTTATAGTGAAGCGTTTTAAGTAATATTAGAAATCTTAATTTTTTAGGGTGGAATTGACCTTATCGAAACGTTCATGACAAAGTGAGCACAGACACACAGGGCATGCAGAGGCAGCATGCACACAGTGAAAAAAGCCACACAGAGCTGTGGCTCACCTGCCCTGTGTGGCCTGAAGCTGCTCTGTGAGTTTAGCCAGGCTAGAGCTGGAGAAAGGAACAGAGAGAGGAAGGAGGAGGAAGACATCTCAACATCAGCCTTGTATTAAGCAGAAGAAATGCAGAAACAAAAAAGGCATGCTGTTTCCTGCACATATACAGTACAGTTAGACTAATTCAACAGCACCCAGCCCAAAAGAGGCTCATGACGACTCGGTTAACACAGAAATTCACTTTAGTGTTGTTAGTTTCACACAATACAATTCAGTATTTTGTACCAGGAAGAGAAATGTCTCTTACCAGTCAGAGGAGTGCTGTGCCTCAGAGCGATGTTGGGCAGCCTCGTCAGAAACGTTGACTGCCTGTAAAACATTCACACAAAACTTTAACACAAAATTACATTTAATTTACACACACTGTAGCGACAAAACTTTCAATAAATGATGTCGCAGAAGAGGCTAAACTTGGCTAATCATTGTGACTAGCTCCCAGCAGTCCGTCATGAGTTTACATTTCAGAATGTTTAAATAAGAAAGAAAAACAACAATAACCAGAGTAGAACCATCCGATCAACAAAAGGTATCACCCCCATTCTCCTTCCACACTAACCCAAAACACAACAGCTGGACTAAATACCTTAAACACACCCAGGTGTTAATGCCGGAAGTGAATAATTGTGGTGTAAACAAATGAGGATTTAATAGAAACAATAAACAATGGCCAAAAAAGCATTTTGGCTCCTACACATACACTTTTAAAACTTTAAACTATAATATTTGTGATATTTTTACTGTACCTTGATGTAGTCTTTTGTGAATTTATATTTTGTGTAAATATTGTCTTTATTTCTTATAATAGTCTTTAAATCGTTTTTATAATAGAACAATTTTGTTCCTTTTCTACAACCCATTCCTCTTTCTGTGACTTTGTTTGCACCGTTCATACTAATGCAAATTCCTTGTATGTGTAAACCTAATTGGCAATAAACCAGATTCTGATTCTGATATTTCTTATGTCAGTGTCCATAACATATCTAGAAAGTGGTTAAATTTAACCTTTAAAAAAATCACAAAGCAGTGTTAATATGTGAAGATAATCCTGCTGATAATTCATAGGTATCATAAATGTGTGTTTGCCCCACAGATTATTTTGTGCAATATTCCAAAATCCAATGGAAATTGCATTTTTTTTTTGTCAAGGGAGCCCTTGGTGTAACTTCTGGGTCGGCCTACGAAAGACGTCAACACTGCACCACTGTATTAGGCATAGAGACATTCACAGACAGCTGAATGTCTGATCTATGCACAGCTTTCCCTCAGGATGTATTTAAAACTACGCTTTCTGATGTCCAAAACAACAAACACTGAACCAACTCTCACTGACTTCGCATCTCAAGAGATTTAGGAACAAGACTTCACAAAGAGCGAGACACAGTTATTCCTTGTCAAACACTAAAATAACCATCTGATCCTGTCAGTGACAAAAACATGCATTTCTATTGGATGGAGATTGACAGGGCGCAATTCCCAGAGCGATGCATTACAGCCTGTTCACTGTCTGCAGTGTCCAGCCTGTCTCTGTGCTCACTTCTCTTAACCGGACGCTTCCTCAGTGTTTGGCTTACAGCTAAGGAAACTACAAAAACTAATTTGTACATCAGCTGTTCCTTTTTTAAACTTCTTTGATCTTTTAAAATAATAAAAGTCTGCTTTCAATAAATGCAAGCCCCCCTGTCTCCTCAGCAGCCAAAGAAGGAAAAAGTGGGGATGAGCAGTGTGAGCCTGCAGCTTGTTTTTAAACCTATCTCAGCGCATTAGGAGAGTATTCCTTTCCAACCAGAGTTAGTCATTGCTGGAACAGTGGAGACTAGTGTGACTTTTTCTATAGTTTTAGCAAAATAAATAATGTCTTTCCTCAACATTACATATTTTGCAACTATAGATGATTTCAAAGTGAAAAAACATTTAGATTTTGGGTCATTCAGACACAGCTGAAGGCGATCTGCACTTTCTAGTTATTGCTGTACTTTCTCATGTCTACCCTTACATCTGAACTTCTGGATCCTGTGTATAAGGCCTGTGATTGGATGACTGTGTTACCTGTGGCTGGGCCAGTTTGTTCCGCATCTGGTCAAAGCAGCGCCGCATGCGCTCTCTCTCTTTCTCCCCCTCCTCCCTCTCCCTCTCCAGCTCTTCATTCTTCCTCTTCAGATCTCTCATCCCTTCCTCGAGTTTCTCTTTGTGGCTCTTCAGCAACTGGAGGAAATCGTTTGAACCTTCCACAGGCTGCGGAGAGAGACAGGAAGTGAATGAACGGGAGATGAGAGGGTGCAGGGAGATAGGGGAGGTAACAGGAGGGAATGGACGGAGACAGAACTCTTTCCCCTGGGCTGCAGGACTCACACCAAGCAAAATGTGGAACTACACCAAGATGTGAGAGAACACAAAGTGAGGAGACGGAGAGGGATTTAAAAGAGGAATCACTCGTTTGATTAGATTTAAAGTGGAGGCATTTCTGGAGTCCGACTAGCATTCAATCAGATGCTCCTGCTTGGAAATATAAGTAAAATACATTGCGACCTACAGATCTATATTGTCCAGTGACTTTGATAAAAGACACATGGGGCATCAGGTTGTCAGGCAGGA